TTTGGAGTTCTCTCCATTTTATTTGATGTTGATTTGTCAACATGCTGTATATAACTTTTATAATGTTTAGATATATTCCTTGTATCCATGATCTCTCCAAGACCTTTATCATGAAGGGCTGTTGGATTTCCTGAATGTTTTTTCTGCATCTAATGAGATGATCATGTGGTTTTTATCTTTCAGTTTATTTGTATGATGGATTATGTTGACAGATTTTTGTATGTTGAACCATTTTTGCATCTCTAGGATGAAGTCAACTTGATCATGGTGAATGATTTTTTCATATATTCTTGGACTTGGTGTGTCAAATTTTACCAAGTATATTTGCAGCAATGTTCAGGAGGGAGATTGGTCTGTAATTCCCTTTCTTAGTGTCATCTTTGTGTGGTTTTGGTATCAAGGTAACTGTAACCTCATAAAAAGAGTTTGACAATGTTCCATCTGTTTCTCTTGTGTGGAACAGTATAAGGAGTATAGGTATTAACTCTTCTTAAAATTTTGATAGAATTCTGTACTGAAACCATTCAGCCTTAGGCTTCTTTTAGTTAGGACACTTTTGATAAATGTTTTCATTTCTTTAGGGGTTATAGGAACATATAAATTGTTTGTCTGGTCTTGATTTAATTTTAAATTGAAAAAATAAACAGAAAATTGTTTCTTCTAAATGATCTGTGCTTCAGTGAAAATATAAACATGATAGAATAGACAATTAGTGAGGGATGATTTTGTTATATTAGGACAGTACAAAAAGTGCAAGGGGAAATGATATTGAATCTGTTTCTTAATTTCCATTAAAAGATGTATATTAGTCAAATAGGAAAAGCATCCCAAAACATCGTAGTCTTTTGCAGAATGATTAAAGCTTTTCACAGAAAACCTCAGGACATGCTAAACTAGAAAGAAAAGATCATGGAAAATTGACCTGGAAGTAGAGAACTCAAGAAATGTATCAGTGATTCTAGAAGAACTTAGAAATTTGACATTTCAAAACAACATCTTAATATGAGAATAATTAATATTTTTTTCATATGAAGGTAGTAATCCTACCTCCCTTTGCCTGATGTATGTGCAATAAAAGATTAAGAAATTTGCCAGCATTTGCCTTTGTTCCTGTTTATGTGTACTTTCATCCATGCATTCATCTAAAAACCATCTGATATGTCATTAAGCACTCAAATTGTGTAGGGCCAATTAAAAAAAAACAAAAGCAAAACTTCTTATATAAAGAATACTTACTCTTTTTGTTTGCTGTCTCCAGGAAAAACTGGCTCCCCAGCAGTGTATAAACCATTCTTTAAACCTAAATTTCCAGTATGGGCAACTGTATACCTTTGCCCGTACCATGAATCCCTGGTGTGAAACTATTCACTCAGCCTAACCTTTAGTTTTCATGGTCAAATCTACATAAAGTTAGTCCCTCGCAACTATCCTTATTGTCAGTATTCATTGATAAGAAAGGAACCCCAAGTAGGAGGCACTGAGCAAGAGATACAGTATGTGTACTCTTCCTGAGAAACAAGTCTGTGTCACCTTGAATTCTCTAGCAGCAGACGCAGGAAGGTGAAATCTACTGGCCTTTTGCTCAAACATAATAAACTGTTAATGTTCTGTGTTTACCCTTCATCTTGGTTTTATTTAATGCAAGATCATAGCCCAGAAAACTAACTGCTTATGCCTTTACCCCTAGAGATACAGGAAAAAGGCTTGAGTCACTAAACCAACCCCAGAGAAAGAAATTTCTCCTCACTTGTGTGCTGGCAGGCACCCAGTTAGAGCTGGAATCAAAGTCTCCAAAGAAATTCACTTTAAACTCAGCTAGCTGGACGCTAATGCAAATTAATCACTTTCATCTTCCTCCAGGGCTTGCTGGTTACTATGGATTCCAACACTGTGTTCCCAGCCAGTGGGGATGGACGTAGAAGTGCCCAGAAAGGGTAACAGCACTGCTGCAGTTTTATACAATAATTAATCATGAAACTCTATCTTAATGCATTACAGTTAATAAATGTAGCTAGTGCACAAAAACTTCTTTTTAGAATTTTGAAATGATTTAAATTTAACCCTCCAAGTGTCTGCTGGAGATCTACACAGTCATGCCCCTCTCTGAGACATAAGACATCTTCTTGCCAGATTGAGCTGTTTTTGTGATTCTATGAAATGTATGCTTAACTGTTGTGTGACTATATAAACTAAAAACCACTTGGGCTAGGTAGAACAACGTGGAACAATGAAGAGGAATGGTGAGAGAATGGTGAAAGAACAGTGAATTAGGAAACTAATAGGAAGAATTAGTGAGACATGATAAAGACTTATGCTGCTTATTCGTTCCCAGCTTTCCAGATCTGAAATAATCACACAGAAACTATATTATTTAAATCACTGCTTGACCAATCACTTAAGCGTATTGCTAGCTAGCTCTTATAACTTTGTTTAACTCATTTCTATTTATCTGTATATTGCCATGAGGCTGTGGCTTACCTGCAAAGTTCCAGTGTGCTTGTGTCTGGCAGAGGCTACATGACTTCTCTTTGACTCCTCCTTCTTTTGCCCAGCATTCAGCTTAGTTTTCCCCAGTCTATCTCTATCCTGCCCTATCACAGGCCAAGGTACCTTCTTTATCTATTAACAAATAAAAGCAACACATATACAGAAGGAGTTCACACACCATGATCATAAAAATACAAAAATTATAAATATTCATGGATGTCATAAATTTTGATGGAAGAAATCAGTTTATATGATGGATTGAGTGGGACAAGGAGATACATATTTAGGCCAGGCATGGCTTTCCCTGTCTCTGATAAGAGGCTTAATTGACCCACAGAGCCATAGTGATATCTGGACCTGTGCTGCTGTCAGGGCCCATGTCTACGTTCTTTGCCCTAATGTAGCCATGGTCTGTGTTGATGTCTGTGGCACCACCGAAGGCTGAAAGGATAGGACTGTACAGAGTTGGACACATCTCTCACTGGTTGTACCACTAAGAAGATCTGGTACTGCCCCTCATCAGCTGGAACACTCAGGAGAGGGGGTCCTACACATCACCTGAGCAGGACAATAGAGCTGTTCATAGGGGCATGGGAGAGTTGGCCATGAGGGTGTGAGAATGGGAGAGCAGGCTGCACCCTTCTCATCTGCCATGTGGTGATGTAGGTGATGGCAAGATGCCCTCCTCCCCTCATCTGTTGTCACCAACAGCAATTGGGAGACCTGAACCAACACTCCACCAGATGCAGCACATGGGAGAATGGGTCCTATGTCTCATCTGGGCAGAAGAGTAGAGCTGCCTCTGTAGACAGGAGAGTGTATGAACTAGCCCTAGGTGTGTGATGGAGAAAAGCTAGAACTACTTCGTTGTCTGCAGTGTGGTGGTGGGGGCAAGGGAAAGATGTCATCCTCCAACCCCTCTATAACTGGCACAGGTAGAAGAGCTGGCCCTGAGGTCATAAGAATGGGACAGTTGACCCTGTCCCTCGCCAGCTGCAGTAGTCAGTGTAATAGACCCTGCACCTTGCCTTGGCAGCACAGTAGAGCAGACCCTGCTGGTGAGTGATGCCATGTAGCTGCCAGATGGAAAGATGCAGGCCACCAATTGAAAACTTGCCGATAGGTGCGGTATAACATAAAATAATAGAAGTGGGTTAACCAAAGATATAAGAGCTAGCTAGAAATACACTTAAGAAATATGCTTAATTGGCCAAGCAATGATTTAAGTAATATAGTTTCTGTGTGATTATTTCATGGTCTGGACAACTGGGACTGAAGAAGCGATCTCCTACTACATGCTGTCCTTTCTATAATAGGGAAAATTACTATAAAGAGTTAATATACCTCCTTGTGGTTTTGATTCGTTCTTCCTCTATGTTTTTAATATTATTTCTAACAGCACATGGCACTTTGTGTTTAAGTTTGCCAAAAGACAATCTCTGCAGTGGAGTGTTTCTATATCACCACTAGAGGGAAACCTAAAGCTGTTTTATCTTATACACAGGTCAGTCAAGTATTTTTCAGAATGAACTGGGATACTTAAAGAGGTATAGGAACACGAGAGAAAAGATTATTGCTACTGTGGAAATGGTACAGTGAGATGGGAATACTGTGAGGTATGACTAACACTGAAGCTCTAAAGACATCACATATATCAGCTATCAAACATGGAGAAATCAATCTAATATTGATCTAGAAACTTCATCTCCTTTGCTGAAGGTGGTATCCATGCTACAAGAGGAGATGGTAATCACCAGACTTTTTCACCTGTGTATGCTGTGAGCTGTAATAAAGACTACTTGGAAAGGTATGCCTAGTGGTTCAACAGTGGTACAGACATATCTGCTTTGTGATTGGATTTTAGTCCTCTTTCACAAGATTGAACTAATACCCAGTATAGCTATTATTACCAAGACCCTGTGAAATATTCATGAGCCCTAATAGACAATAACTACTATTACTCTGCTAATGTGAAATAGGATTTAGCTATTTCTTACCAAATAACCATTATACCACAGTTAAGTGAATCTCTCAACCCTCATTATAGATAACACTCATTTAACAGTGGATTTCAGTAAATACAGAGAACCATAACTGTTAAAAATAAAGGAAGTAAGTGACTGTGGGTTGTTAATTTATAATTTAGACACCTATATCACACACACACACACACACACACACACCTGCCAAGACTCAAAGATCATTGAGCAAGACTGAGCAGAAACAGTGTAAGAGACAGGGATAGTCGACTGTTACAGTGAAGCAGTGCTGTCCTGACACAATAAAGAAGTCAGACATAGAAACTCAGAGGAGAAGTAATTATTTTGGAGTATTAATTTGAGATGTACTACATTTGTTTACACTGAGAAATATTTGTTTTAATATTGCAAAGATGTGTTGCATTCTTTTATATTTCATTTGTTTAACTCCATGAAGATATTATTCTTTCCCTGCCTAAAATACCTGATGGTCTAATAAAGAGTTGAATGGCCAAGAGCAAACACTGACAGGCAGAGAGAATAAGTAGATAGAGAAATATGGGAGGAGAAGAAGGAGCAAGAGAGAACAAGGAGTGAGGATGCTAGGAGTTGGTCATCAAGCCACTCAGCTCCCCAGGCAGCCACAGAGTAAGAGTGAACGTAAGATATTCACAAGTAAGAAAAGGGAAAAGCCTAGAGACAAAAGGTAAATGGCATAATTTAAGTTAAGAGAAACTGGCTAAAATTAAGCCAAGGGAAGGCTAGGCATTTATAAGAAAGAATAATTCTGTGTCATGATTTGGGAACTGGGTGGTGGACACCCAAAAAGGATAAAGAGAAAAGAGTAAGAAGCAACAACAACATGTTGGTGTGCAACATGGGGTTAGAGTGAAGAAAAACCAACTGCAAGTAATAACATAATTAGACCTGCACAAGTTCAAGCCAGTCAAAATGTCAACATGGTGTGGGCAATTGGCAGGAACTCCTAGCTGAGAAGCTATTGGTAATTGATAACTTCTGCAGGAGTGATAGATTTCTATGAAGGTGTTGCCCCTGATAAGTGTAACACACTACAGTTGATTGTCACACACTCAAGCATATAGAGACACCAATAATAGGAGTGTAAGGGTTATAAAACCAAACAACCTGAATGAAGACACAAAGTTGGATTGTTTGAAATAAAAAGCAGATATAGGAGAATATGAGCAAAAATGATGAGCATCATCCAATTTAAAATATTTTTTTTTTGAAAATAGGTTATTCTATTCTCTGGGTTGGAGTAGTCACCAAACTATGGTCAGACAGTGTGTGATGTTGCATGGTGATAGACATAGTAAATATGATGGTACCAGCAGTAACTCTAATAGGTCCCAGATCTTAGCACAACTGAATTTATAATGGAAGTACCATTCAGGTTATAAAACTTAGCACATAGATAGTACCACCTCCAGAAATGAAAACAAAGACCTAATCCACCAAAAAGCCCAGTTCTGGGTAAGTCTGTATATGTATTAACTGTGGTTTTTGGCTTCTGTAGTTATTCTTCTTGTGCTTTTGTTAACTGAAGTATATCAACCCAGAACACTGCTTTTGTGCTTTAAAAGCACTCCTTGAGAAAGACTTGGGTCTACCCTGGGATCCCAAACACCCAGTATAGTCACTAATTGGCTAATAAAGACTTCTATAAGCTCAAACACACGTCTAAGCAGTCATCTCTGATTGATAGTCTACAAAGTAATTTTTTATGTTACAGCTTGGCACACACTCCCATTTCCTCCTCTAAAGACAATTACTCTATATTGTGCTTCCAAAGTTAGGGGAGGGATGATGTGGGTAGCATGTTGGAAACCAATGCTGATGTTCTACCCTATTGTGAAGCCAATGCTCAGAACACCTGTGAGACCAGCTCAGCACTGGGGAAGGACCAAGGCCATGCTGCTTGTGTACTGATTACCTCTAAGTTTGATGTGTATCTCAAAATTTGAACAGTAAGCCACAATAATTTTAGTGGGAAATACAATAAGTTTGGAAATATGTCTCTATTTCATAGGCTCTGTCCTCAGCTAGTACTCTGGATAGGATATAGAAACCATTAGTATCTCATCCAGTTAAGATTTATCAACTTTCAACATAGGTTTTAACATGCAATCCTGTGTTTTCTAGTCAAATCTATGTCCAGTAATTGTTTCTTTCTTGTTTATTTGGGATTTTATGTCAATATGAATCAGAAAACAAACTCTGCTTACTTTGCTCAAGGTGACAGGAAAACAAGACTTTGTGTCACTGAAGGTCAAAAGACTACTGATATCAAACTTTTCTGACCTCCATGTCAAAATAAAGACCATCTAATTATTAACTAGATTCCAACAATCATTAAAATTAGACTTTTCTGACCTCCATTTCAAAAAAGATCATCTAATTATTAGCTAGATTATAAAGGTCATTCAAATCAAACTTTTCTGACCTGCATGTCAAAACTTGTTTTAAAAATCATTTTTAATTTAATTATTGCAGTACTTATTAATTAAAGTCATGCTTGCTTTGAATGTCATTGACTAAGGTTGATATTGAGTCACAGTACACAGTGAAAGTTGGTGATGGAATAGAACTGATTGTCTTTGTTAGGGGACCAGTGCAGTATGAGGGCTCAAACTCTTGCTTTACTATTGGTAGCTTTTCTCTGGCCAATGCACTGAATCTCCAAGGCTCAGTTTTAAATCCCTCGAGGGAATAATATTAGCTTAGAAAAAAAAAGAAAAAGAATCAGAAGAAATATGGGTGTGAGCATTTCAAGAACATTCATATAATCTGTGTAATGTGATTTATGAAATAGTATATAAAGTGGTCTTTTTTTAAAGTAAATTTTATTAAATTATAAAAGTTTCCATTTCCGCCCCTCTTCCCAACACCCTCCCACTCCCCCCACTCCCTCTCCTCCTCCCTCTTCGTCCCTTAGGGCAGTCAGGGTTTCCTGCCCTGTGGGAAGTTCAAGTTCCTCCCCCCTCCCTCCAGGTCCAGGAAGGTGAGTATCCAAACAGACTGGATCCCCAAAATCCAGTATATGCAGAGGAAACAAGTCCCAGTATCATAGTCAATGGCTTCAGAAAGACTTCGGGCCAGCCACATTCAGAGAATCCGGCCAAATTCCGAGAATCTGGTTAGATCACGTCCTTGTTCAGTCCCAGTCCAACTGGCCTTGGTAAAGTCTCATAGATCCGTTCCCTTGTATCAGTGGGTGATAGCATCCCTCGCAGTCCTGATTTCCTTTTTCATGTTCTTCCTCCTTCTGCTCCTCATTTGGACCTTGGGGGGCTTAGTCCAGTGCTCCAATGTGGGTCTCCGTCTGTATCACCATCCTTTGCCAGATGAAGGATCTATGGTGATAAGCAAAATATACATCAGTATGGTTATGGGCCACGGCCGGTTCAGGCACCCTCTCCTCTGTCCAGAGAACAATCTGGGGATCTCTCCTTGGACCTGGGATCCCATATATAATCAAGTCTCCTGTAAACCCTACAATGACTCCCTTAGTTGAACTATATTCTTCCCTGATCCCATATTCATCCTTCCTCCCTCCCCACCCATCCCAGGCCACCGAGCTTTCCCCATTCGTCCCCTACTCCCTTTTATCTAACCCTCTCCCCTTCCATCAACCCTCCCACCACCCCCCATGCACCCGAGGTTACCTGGGACTCTTGTCTATTTCCTACCTCCTGGCGGATAGCTAAATAATCTTCATCAGGTTCATCTTCTTATTTAGCTTCTCTAGGATCAAGGATAATAGGCTCAAAGACCTTTAATTATGGTTAGAATCCACTTATGAGTGAATACATACCATGTTCCTCTTTTTGGGTCTGGCTTACCTCACTCAGTAAAGCATTTTCTATTTCCATCCATTTGCATGCAAAAGTCAAGATGTCATTGTTTTTTACCGCTGAGTAAAACTCTAATGTGTATATGTTCCACACCTTTTTTAACCATTCTTCTATTGAGGGGCACCTAGGCTGCTTCCAGGTTCTGGCTATTACAAATAGTGCTGCTATGAACATAGTAGAACAAATCCTTTTGCAGTATGTTAGGAAATCTCTAGGGTATATTCCCAAGAGTGGAACTGCTGGGTCCTGAGGGAGGTTGACTCCCAGTTTCCTGAGAAGCCGCCACACTGATTTCCACAGTGGCTGCACAAGTTTCATTCCCACCAACAATGGATGAGTGTTCCCCTCACTCCACATCCTCTCCAGCATAGGCTATCATTGGTGTTTTTGAGTTTAGCTATTCTGACAGGTGTAAGATGATATCTCAAAGTGGTTTTGATTTGCATTTCCCTGATCGCTAAGGAGGTTGAGCATCACCTTAAGTGTCTTCTGGCCATTCGAAGTTCATCTGTTGTGAATTCTCTGTTCAGTTCAGTACCCCATTTTTTAATTGGGGTAATTAGAGTTTTAGTGTCTAGTTTCTTGAGTTCTTTGTATATTTTGGAGATCAGACCTTTGTCTGATGAGGGGTTGGTGAAGATCTTCTCCCAGTCAGAAGGCAGCCTTTTTGTCTTACTGACAGTGTCCTTTGCTTTACAGAAGCTTCTCAGTTTCAGTAGGTCCCATTTATTTATTGTTTCTCTTATTGTCTGCGCTCCTGGGGTTCTGCTTAGGATGTGGTCTCCTGTGCCTATGTCTTGTAGACTACTTCCTACTTTCTCTTCTATCAGGTTCAAAGTGGATGGATTAATGTTGAGGTCTTTAATCCATTTGGACCTGAGTTTTGTGCATGGTGATAGATATGGATCTATTTTCATTCTTCTACAGGTTGACATCCAGTTATGCCAGCACCATTTGTTAAAGATGCTATCCTTCTTCCATTGTATATCTTTAGCTCCCTTGTCAAAAATCAGGTGTTCATACGTTTGTGGGTTAATACCCGGGTTTTCTATTCGATTCCATAGGTCGACTTCTCTGTTCTTATGCCAATACCAAGCTGTTTTCAATACTGTTGCTCTGTAATAGAGTTTGAAGTCAGGGATGGTAATGCCTCCAGAAGTTCCTTTATTGTATAAGGTTGTTTTGGCTATCCTGAGTTTTTTGTTTTTCCATATAAACTTGATTATTGTTCTCTCAAGGTCTGTGAAGAAGTTTGATGGGATTTTGATGGGGATTGCATTGAATCTATAGATTGCTTTTGGTAGAATTGCCATGTTTACTATGTTGATTCTCCCAATCCAAGAGCAGGGGAGGTCTTTCCATTTTCTGGTATCCTCCTCAATTTCTTTCTTCAAGGACTTAAAGTTCTTATCAAATAGGTCTTTCACTTCCTTGGTTAGAGTTACCCCAAGATACTTTATGCTATTTGTGGCTATCATGAAAGGTGATATTTCTCTGATTTCCCTCTCTGCTTCTTTATCCTTTGTGTATAGGAGGGCTACCGATTTTTTGGTGTTGATCTTGTATCCTGCCATATTACTAAAGGTGTTTATCAACTGTATGAATTCTTTGGTAGAGTTTTTGGGATCGCTTATGTACACTATCATATCGTCTGCAAATAACGAAAGTTTAACTTCATCCTTTCCTATTCGTATCCCCTTGATCTCCTTATGTTGTCTTATTGCTATTGCTAGAACTTCTTCAAGCACTATATTGAAGAGGTATGGTGAGAGTGGACAGCCTTGTCGTGTTCCTGATTTTAGTGGAAAGGCTTTGAGTTTCTCTCCATTCAATTTGATGTTAGCTGATGGCTTGCTGTATATTGCTTTTATTATATTTAGGTATGATCCTTGTATCCCCAGTCTCTCCAACACCTTTTTCATAAATGGGTGTTGAATTTTGTCAAATGCTTTTTCAGCATCTAGTGAGAAGATCATATGGTTTTTTTCTTTCAGTTTATTTATATGATGGATTACATTGATAGATTTGCGTATGTTGAACCAGGCCTGCATCTCTGGGATGAAGCCCACTTGATCCTAATGAATAATTTTTCTAATGTATTCTTGGATTTGGCTTGCCAGTATTTTATTGAGTATTTTTGCGTCAATGTTCATGAGTGAGATTGGTCTGTAATTCTCTTTCTTGGTTGTGTCTTTGTGTGGTTTTGGTATCAGGGTAACTGTAGCCTCATAAAAAGAGTTTGGCAATGATTCTTCTGTTTCTATATTGTGAAATACATTAAGGAGTATAGGAATTAGCTCTTCCTGGAAGTTCTGGTAGAATTCTGCATTGAAACCATCTGGTCCTGGGCTTTTTTTGGTAGGGAGATTTTTAATCACAGCTTCTAATTCTTCACGACTGACAGGTCTGTTTAGATTGTTCAGCTGGTCTTGGTTCAACTTTGGTATATGGTACTTATCTAAAAAAATGTCCATTTTTTGTACATTTTCCAACTTTGTGGCATATAAATTTTTGTAGTAGGATCTAATGATTCTATGAATTTCCTCTGTGTCTGTGGTTATGTCCCCCTTTTCATTTCTGATCTTATTAATTTGCATGTTCTCTCTCTGCCATTTGATTAATTTGGATAGGGGCTTGTCGATCTTGTTGATTTTCTCTAAGAACCAGCTTTTTGATTCATTGATTCTTTGGATTGTTTTCTGTGTTTCTATTTTGTTGATTTCAGCCCTCAGTTTGATTATTTCCAGTCTTCTACTCCTCCTGGGTGAATCAGCTTCTTTTTTTTTCTAGAGCTTTCAAGTGTGCTGTTAAGTCTCCAATGTTTGCTTTCTCCGTTTTCTTTAATTGGGCACTTAGTGCTATGAACTTTCCTCTTAGCACTGCTTTCATAGTGTTCCATAGGTTTGAGTATGTTGTGTCTTTATTTTCATTAAATTCGAGGAAGACTTTAATTTCTTTCTTTATTTCTTCCTTGACCCAGGGGTGATTCAGTAGTTGATTCTTCAACTTCCATGACTTTGTTGGCTTTCTGGGGGTAGCACTGTTGTTGAATTCTAATTTTAGTCCATGGTGATCTGACAAGACACAGGTAGTTACTAATATTTTTTTGTATCTGTGGAAGTTTGCTTTGTTACCCAGTATGTGGTCAATTTTCGAGAAGGTTCCATGAGCTGCAGAGAAGAAGGTATATTCTTTCCTATTTGGGTGGAGTGTTCTATAGATGTCTGTTAATTCCATTTGATTCAATACCTCCAATAATTCTCTTATTTCTCTGTTAGATTTCTTTCTTATTGTCCTGTCCATTGGTGAGAGAGGAGTGTTGAAGTCTCCTACTATTAGAGTCTGTGATTTGATGACTGCCTTGAGTTCTAGAAATGTTTCTTTTACATAAGTAGGAGGCTTTATATTAGGGGCGTTGATATTCAGGTTTGAGACTTCCTCCTGATGAATTGTTCCTGTTATGAGTATAAAATGTCCATCTCCATCTCTTCTGATTGATTTTAGTTTGAAGTTAATTTTGTTGGAAATTAGAATGGCCACACCTGCTTGTTTCTTAGGTCCGTTTGCTTGAAAAACCTTTTCCCAGCCCTTTACTCTGAGTAGTTGTCTGTCTTTGTGGTTGAGGTGTATTTCTTGTAAACAGCAGAATGTTGGATCCTGTTTTTGTATCCAATCTCTAAGTCTGTGCCTTTTTATAGGTGAATTGAGTCCATTAATATTAAGTGATATTAATGACCAGTGGTTGTTGACTCCGGTTATTATTATTTTTTGTTTATTTGTTTAATAGAGTTTGTATGTGTCCCTTTTTTGAGTTAAGCTCGTGAAGGGTCACTAGATGTCTGAGTTATTGTAGGCAATGTTGGCAATGTTGGATTCCTTGGGTTGCGATTTTCCTTCTATTACTTTCAGTAAGGCTGGGTTTGTGGCTACGAATTGTTTAAATTTGTTCTTATCCTGGAATATTTTGTTTTCTCCATTGATAGTTGTAGAGGACCGCAACCACATTCGCCATTCCAAGATGGTGCTGACATCCGGTTCCACCGCCCGGTGAACAGGATAAAGCGCATGTGTTGGTAAATTTCCAACGCTGTAGTCCCTGCCTCTCCCGAGGCGTCATCTGGGATGATGGGCAGCTGACCAATCTGAG